GTTTTGGAGGGTAGGTTTGGGCTGGGGGGTATGTTTCTATGTTGCTTTGTGTTTTGGTACTTTTTTTGCAGTCCCAGCATGGGACTTGCTCTGTTTATTTATTTTTACTTTATTTTTTGGTATTTAAAAATTAGTTGCTGCTTTTTACTTTTTAAAAATGTTCTGGGTGGGTTTTGGAGGGTAGGTTTGGGCTGGGGGGTATGTTTCTATGTTGCTTTGTGTTTTGGTACTTTTTTTGCAGTCCCAGCATGGGACTTGCTCTGTTTATTTATTTTTACTTTATTTTTTGGTATTTAAAAATTAGTTGCTGCTTTTTACTTTTTAAAAATGTTCTGGGTGGGTTTTGGAGGGTAGGTTTGGGCTGGGGGGAATGTTTCTATGTTGCTTTGTTTTTTGGTGATTTTTTTTTTGGCAGTCCCAGTGTGGGACTTGCTCTGTTTATATATTTTTATTTTATTTTAATTTTCAGTATTTAAAAATTAAGTGCGTCTTAACGTCCGGTGCGTCTTATGGAGCGAAAAATACGGTACTCAAATAATTGGTGCACTATGCTTTTCATTTTCAGGAGAGGATTATCACACTAACATTTTAGATATAGACTACATTTAACACTAACATTCCATTTTAAAGCCATCATCAACATTTTAAATGGCCATTGTTATATCAGAAAAACCTGTTAACATGGAACACATGTTTGCTTAGTTCTCTCAAAGTAGATGCTGCAGAATTTTCTCGGGAGAAGATTATATTATAGAGAAATTATGCAATTCTTAATCTAATTAGCATTTAATACTGTGAAACATTTCATCTCATGAGATCAGCACTACACTTATATACAGGACCTAATGAATTTCTTTTAAATCTATTGTTAGCTACCCAAACATAATGATCACAGAACACTATCTTACATCACATCACAATAAGGCACAAATCATCTTGCCTAGATCTGCTGATACAACACAAATGGCATAAACATTTGGATCCAAGTTGCCTTATAGAATTACAGTAGTCATTGTATCTGTTGCATACTAACTTATGTGGCTCAGCATGCAGCTAGCAATATATATGGTGATTTCTTTAATCGGGACAATTTTCCTCCAGAACATATGCCATTTGTGTATTTACACAAGAAGATTTTAGCCTAAGCATTCAGAAGTATGGCAAAATTACACATGCACTTTTCAAAATACCTGTACTACAGTGATGCTCAGTCTCCCAACAGTACCCATTGCTCCTCCGTACTGCAACTGTTGAGCTGCTTGAGCATCCAGTTGGATTTGCTGTTGTTGCTGTGTTGGGGTGATGCGAAGAAAATCCTGAGGAAGTTCACCAATATAAACCTGTGAAGGAAAACACATTAAGGAATGAGATAATCCATTCTAATACCTCCTGCATTCTCTCATTGGCTATTTTAGAAATTATTTCATGCTTGAATTTTATTTTCCACGCCTGTCAAGACGTGACATGTTGTGTGTATAGAGTTCCGCCCTCCAAAAAATAATAAAATTAAGGGGGTGTAGAAAAATGCAATCCTGAAAACATACATTGTGCTTTAAAAATGAGATTTGAACAGCAGTTTACTAAAAGTCCTACACAATCAGCCAGCTCTCCAGACATTAACATTGCCTTGCAAAAGAATCTTTCATGGTTAACAGCTGAATGTGTAAACAAATGATAATAAATATTTTTTAATAAAATGAGGAGGAAAAACTACCCAGAGTCCTAAATTGTGAACAGAACAAAGTAGTCCCTGACTTTGTCCACCAGCACTTTACACCAGTAGCATTTTGCCTACCTGATAAATTCTACTCAAGCAACTTACTATTCCAACAAATGCAGGAACCCATTTAGCAAAAATAATACTGTAGCTGTTTTCTGCTCTGGGGCAACATACCATCCTTGTAAATTATGAGGGTTATATTTTGCCGTAACATTAAAAGCAATAAAAATTTCTATTTAACATGTTTGACCATTTATACCAATGACTCCCAATCTTGGGTCTCCAGATGTTCTTGGACTAGAACTTCCAGAAGCCTTAACTACTAGCTGTGCTGGCCGTGGTGGCGCTGTGGGCTAAACCGCAGAAGCCTGTGCTGCAGGGTTAAAAGACCAGCAGTCGTAAGTTCGAATCCACGCGACGGAATGAGCACCCGTCGCCTGTCCCAGCTCCCGCCAACCTAGTGGTTCGAAAGCAGGCAAATGCGAGTAGATAAATAGGTACCATCTCGGTGGGAAGGTAAACAGCGTTCCGTGTCTAAATCACACTGGCCATGTGACCACGGAAAGATTGTCTTCGGACAAACGCTGGCTCTATGGCTTGAAGAGCGGGATGAGCGCCGCCCCCTAGAGTCGGACACGACTGGACAAAAATTGTCAAGGGGAACCTTTACCTTTACCTTTACCTGTGCTGGCCAAGATTTTTGGGAGTTGTAATCCAAGAACATCTGGGGACCTAAAGCTGGAAACCACTGGTTTATAGAGATCAGTAACTTACTATACAAAGGAAATGTAAACAGTTGAGAGGAATATAAATACAGGGAGGTAAAGAGACACACACGTACAACACGTCATACCATGCACATCAAATACCAACAACATACGCTGATCAGCCACAATATTAAAACCAGGTAGGTAAAACTCCCAAAACAGAGAACTATGGTATATGTAGAAAAAAAATTCTTGCATGGATTAAAAAATAATGGTTTCAGGGATCCAATTATGCATTTTTTAAATAACCAGCAAAAGGGTTATATATATTAGAGCAAATGAAAAGGTTTTCTTGGGAGTCTATGAGGCTGTCATTAGGTTCATGCCCAATTTTGGGAGGTCCATGCTTGATATATTTCAATTGCAATTCCATTGTGACAATGGCTTTAAAAATGCTCCTGTTATTGAGAAAAATTATGGCAGCTGTGCTCAGCTAGTATGTCAACACACCAGGTCAGCCAAATAGTAACTCCCTGCAAGTACAGCTTAGTTGTTAAGCCCCAAAGTAGTCGCACATACTCTTGAGACAAGCATGGTGATGTCCTCATAATATGTTAACTGGTTTGAAGGTCCAAACTTTTCACTTTGTTTATGTAAATATGCTTCTGAATCACATTACAGCCTCTCAACTTTAACTGTACTGGTTATATGACAATAACAACAAAAACCTTGGTCCTGCAGCAGCTTAAGTTTGTTCTTCCATACAAGTAAAAACACTATACATAAAATTCTGCTGTCAGAGGCTTCATGCGTTCAAATTTCTCTGTGCCACTGAAGTTATTACTCAACAGTTTTAACAGTGCAGGCAGCCTCAGAAAATGTACAATATTGTTCCAATACTGTCCAGTTCTTTTTAAAAAAAGTTTATTTCCTTAACTTTATACGTAAATTTCACAGCTTCCACTTGAACAACGGTTAATATTAAAATCTTTCTAGAAATAAAAGCTGACATTATCTTTCCATTGGTTGGGTTAGAACACTATAACAATCCGATAAAACAGGCAATAAAATGAGTCTCATGCTCCCTATTGGAATCTACAAGACGGCAGTTCGAAGTGATTTAAGCACTGAAACTTTTACAAGGATATCAACGAGTAACTCATAACCCATGTCACTCATCAAAAGACAGAACAGCTTATACGGGACTAGAAACAAACCTAAACAAACAAACCTAATTATAAATACCAGAGGTAGTAGCTGTAAAAACACAACAGTACATCTAGAGTGTATACTCTTGGCTGAAAAATCCTTTCTAATTCTTACATTCAATATTGTGCACCAATGATTTGCACATTACAATTAGTTATTCACAAGACTTCTGATATGTAGCAGAAATAGAAACACACTTTCCTGGGGAAAACATATATATTCCGAACTAGCTGCCGCAACGGCACAGAGCCACCATCTTGCAACTGCAGCATGGTTCCTCAATGTTTGCTCCTCAATATCTTGTTTTCCCCTTTCTTCTATTGCCTAGATTGAGATAGGACTCTCGTGAGATGGACAAAGTATTGGAGCCTCAGCTTCAGGATCTGTCCTTCCAGTGAGCACTCTGGAAGGTTGATTTCCTTCAAAATGGATAGGTTTGTTCTCCTTGCAGTCCAGAGGACTCTTAAGATGACCGCATCAATTCATTGGCGGTCAGCCTTCTTTATGATCCAGCTCTCACTTCCATACATCGCTACTGGAAAAACCATAGCTTTGACTATGTGGACCTTTGTCGGCAAGATGATGTCTCTGCTTTGTCTCTAGGTTTGTCATTGCTTTCCTTTGTCGGCAAGGTGATGTCTCTGCTTTGTCTCTAGGTTTCCTCCGAAGAAGAAGGTGTCTTTTAATTTCGTGGCTACTGTCACCATCTGCAGTGATCATGGAGCCCAAGAAAGTCAAATCTGTCACTGCCTCCATATCTTCCCCTTCTACTTGCCAGGAGATGATGGGGCCAGTGCCATGATCATAGATTTTTTTTTATGTTGAGCTCCATATCATTTTTTGCCCTCTCCTCTTTCATCCTCATTACGAGGTTCTTTAATTCCGCCTCATTTTCTGCCATCAGAGTGGTATCAACTGTATATGAGGTTGTTGATATTTCTTCTGGCAATCTTAATTCCGGTTTGGGATTCATCCTGTCCAGCTTTTCGCATGATGTATGCTGAATATGTTAAATAAACAGGGAGACAATAGACAGCCTTGCCGTACTCCTTTCCCAATTGTGAACCAATCAGTTGTTCCATATCCAGTTCTAACTGTTGCTGAGACTTTATTAGTCTCTCACACTGTTGTGGAGGAATTTTGGCCTACTCTTCTTTACAATGTTGCTTCAATTCATTGAGGTTTACAACATTTGTTCATGCACAACTCTCTCAGGGTCCCACCACAGCATTTCAAACAGGTTGAGGTTTGGACTTCAACTGCACCATTGCAACACCTTGATTCTTTTCTTTTTCAGCCATTCTGCTGTAGATTTTATGGTGTGTATTGTCTTATCTGGCCACATGTCTTAGCTCAGGGTGGTGAAAAACCAATGATTTTTTTAAAAAAAATCAAAGTGATTTAAATCATGACTTCAATTTTAAAATATCACTTTTATTTAAATCATCAAAAAAATCAATGTTTAAACATTTAAATCAAATCCACTCTGCCTTAGATACATCCCAGCTGTTTTACTGTAACATGCTCTATGTGGGGCTGCCTCTGGAAAATGTTCAGAAACTTTGAGCAGATCAAAATACAATAGCCAGATTGCTAACTAGGGCTGGTCATAAAAGAGTACATGACACACACGTTACAGCACAGCCACAAGGTGCTGATCTATTTCTGGGCACAGAGTAAAGTGCTTGTTCTAACCTATAAAGCCCCAAATGGCTTCAGTTGAAGCTATCTCTTAGTTCCATTTCCTTCACAGGTACATTTGGTGGGGACACTGGATGGGGTCTTCTCTGTTGCTACTCCCAGACTTTGGAACTTCCTCCCACAAGAGGCCAGGCTGGCCTTATCCTTTCTATCCTTTCATAAGCAGGCAAAGACCTTTCTCTTCAGGAAAGCTTCCTCTGAGTGACTGAATGCTTGAGTTGGGTTTTAAATGGATGGTTGTACTGTACCTTACTGCCTTGAATTTTTTAATGTTGCTCTGTTAACCATCTCTTAGTATGGTATCTGTTTGATCCTTTTTAGCATTTATAGATTTACTCTTTTTAGCTTTAAATATTGTATTCTCGAAGGCTTTAAATATTGTCTTTAGATTATGCGAGTCATCTTGGGTCCTTTTTATGGAGAACAGTAGGGAAAATATTTTAAATAAATAATTTCAAAAAAAAAAATTAAATGTTTCTACACCATTTGGGCTTTGTTCTCATTTACCCCCCATCTGAAGGATTAAAGAGAGAAAAAAATGCTTGCACTGAGTGAGCAATGGAGAACCTTCTGACCACATGGGAATTTCAATATATTTGGTCTTAGCAGAAGGGTTAGTTAGGGTTAGCAGAAGGGTGACAGTCAAATAATTTTTGCTTCCTGAATTCATTGAGAATGCTTACTGGCCTCACACCATGGGGCTATCATAAGAACAATCAGAATATGCCACTTCTCAGCCTCATGCCATCAATATTTTATATAAATGAACTAAATAACACAATATGTTTATGACATTTTGGTGTCAGGTCAAAACCTTCCTGTTGCAGAAGATATTTAATTGAAATAACATCAACTGTGGGTCCTGATGGCAATTTTTAGAGCATTTTATTTTAATTGTATTTTAATTATATTAATCTTTTTATCATTTTTATTGCATTTAAATTGTTGTAAGCCACCCAGAGACCTTTGGGTAGTGTGGGCAGCAAATTAATTAAATTAAATT